GAGCCGCGTGCCGAACGTTGCCGACCCCTGGTCTAGTTTTTACTCTTATTATGGCACTCTAGAGTGAGTTCAGCACTGGGAGTGTAAATTGGATTCCATTCTGCCTTGCGTATCATCAACACCATCTGTTAGCTTGGTTCTAGAGACACCCCAGCCGAATTTTTAGATCCCAGGTTGAGTTTGCGGTCCGCACCTATTTAAAACGAAAATCACCTTGTAACTTGAAAGTGACCCAGCTTCATCTGGAAAGCATTGAGAAAACAAATAGCGAGCGGTGCAGTGTCATTTCCCAGGGCATTACCACACTTTACATTTGAAGGGAATATCTTTTTGTTAGCCAGTTATCTATTTTTATTTACTGTTTTATATCCCTGGTGTGAATAACTGGTTAAAGGAAGTATTGAAAGCTGACATAGCCTGATAACGTCTGCACTTATTGGCCGATGTGAAAGATCAGACAAAAATCTGCAGAGTTCTAGTCATTAACAGAGTGAAGTAAAGAGGTTTCACATCCCAGAGGCAAAGGAGAAGGCAACCAATGTATTTGTATTCCTGCTATATATTGTCATACAGCAAAGAAATGGCATTCATGTCAAGCTAAGGAGCAGTGTCTCATTCAAGCCAAGAAATCCAAGGTTAATGATGAAACTTGATCTTTAATTCATCGTCTCTCTGCCAGATAGTGCAGCCCATATGTCTCTCTGTCTAGATACGTATTTCTAGAGCTCCAGTCACCTCAGTATCTGGAAATGGGGTGTTATTGGCCAAATTCCAATAGGAGAAATTATGTTCTGCCAACCTAAAATTAGCTCTGTGGTTTTATTGGAGATGATATTCTTCTTCACTTCCTGTCCTAAACCCTAGCAGTGATGTTATTAACCAGTTTTAAATAAATGTTGTTTTCCACCCCCAAAAATATCTTAGAGGTGAGTGAAATGATTCCTACTACATAGAGCATCCAGAACTTTCTTTTGATTGTTAAGGGCGCGGTATTTAGGTGCACACAAATGCCAATTTATGTGCTCAAAGGTGGGATTTAGATCTCCTCTTTTCACTGTTTGTAAAGCACTTGTGGATCTTGTCAGAATGAAAGATATTTATGTATTTGATGATATAAGACTGGAGACCCCTGTGTTATCCAAGCAGAAAGGGGAAATCAAAGATCGTATTGCTGTGTGGGTTTAATGAGACTTCGGCCGTTGCTTTAAGGTCGTGGCCCTGTTATAAACCACTCGCAGCAGAGTTCAGCTGAGAAATGCTGATTTGCCCTTAACTGCAGTGATTCAAAGAGAGAGTTCTGCTGCGGTATTTCACTTTGTGCGATAATGACAGAATCACTTTCTTACAGGTCCATTCCCCTGCACTTATTAGAGATCATTCTCCCTCTTCCTTAGATCCTGGATCTGGACACCCCCAAAACTTGGGGAAAGTTCAGATCTGGATCTGAACTCCACGGCTAATTTCAGGCTTTGTAATGGACTTCAGCAAAACCCTAGATGCGAACACAATGAACGTTTTGATCTGGATCCAGAGCTAAGTTTCATAGCTTAGGCCCCTCTCTGCTTCTTTATGAAACTCTGTGACCAGCCTTAATAGGCTATGTTCAAACAGCAAATCAGAAGTGTAAGGACAAACTACTTAAAACTGAGTTGTGATGTTTGTGGGATAGTGAGCGATCACCTCCATAACCTTTGAACCCAGGCCAGTTCTTCAGGGGATCATGTGGGGTGACAGTCCCCACCAGATGTGTTTAGTTTGCCTAGGAATTAGAGATCCTGAGAGAACCACAAGATTTGTTGGTGTCCATCAGCCTTCATAAAAAATCCCCTTTCCACTCACTATGGCTGAGTCCTGTCCCTTTACCCCAAGGGTCACTACAGCCTGATATGTCTCTTTTATTTTGACAGGTTTTATCCCACCACCTTTGATCTTTGGGGCTGGAATTGACTCAACATGTCTGTTCTGGAGCACGTTTTGTGGCGAGCAAGGAGCCTGCGTATTGTATGACAATGTCGTCTATAGATACCTGTATGTTAGCATTGCTATAGCCCTGAAATCTTTCGCATTCATCTTATACACAACCACCTGGCAGTGCTTGAGGAAAAACTATAAAAGATACATCAAGAACCATGAAGGCGGGCTCAGCACTAGTGAATTCTTTGCCTCCACTCTCACCCTAGACAATCTGGGGCGGGACTCTGTGCCCCAAAACCAATCACAGAGGACAAAATTTATCTATAACCTTGAAGATCACGAATGGTGTGAAAACATGGAGTCTGTTTTATAGTGACTAAGGATGGATGAACTCTATATTAATAATATATGGGTCCTTTTTAATTAAAAGAGAGAGAGAGAATAAAATTTAAAAAACAGGAGACTTTTGTCCTTTTCTCAAAAACCAGAGCCAAGGATTCAGAATAACAAAATCTTTAAATGGGATCATTTTTGAAATCCTGTCGGAGTGCTGAAGAGAACACAAAACCACTCCGGCTGGGTACCAGCCCCTGTGATGATGGTACAATCTTCCAGGATAGAATCACCTGCCAGGGCATTGGGAGCTGCAAACCCAGGGTTTTGTGGAAGACCTCATCAGATGGACATTCTTGGGCACCTGGTAAGAAGAAACAAGCAAATAACGGCAATTCCAGAATAAGCGTTTGTGACACTGCATGCCATTAGGGATCGGTGCAGCCCTGTCACCTCTGCAATATGGGCTAAAGAGTTAGCCAGTCTGGGTGCTGCTCAAGTCCAATGCACTCTCTCAATGATGTCAAAGAGGGAACAGTGCTGGAGTTATTAAACTACTTACACTCTGTCACCAGCCATGATTCCATGTTAGATACTTTGAATGCTGCCGTATACCCTCTAGCCAGCACACATTGATGGTCAAAGGCTCCACTGTCCTTCCAGCAGATCTCAGATTTCGGTTCTCTGTGAATGGCTGTGCTCAGATCTTTAAAACCCAGTAAAGTTCAAGTCATTTGCTTACACTTGCCAAATGTTCTGTCATTTTTTTTAAACTCCAAACATTTGCCTGTATAATCCTTTGAAGATTTTTTTAAACTACTTTCAAATCTATATTAACCCTTAAATCACCAACAATGTTCTATAGGGGGAATTTATTATACCAATTGCATTTTTTTTTTCAGTTTCTTTTCAATACGCCACAAAATCATGCGAGGGATTCAGCTAATCCAGTGCATTTTTTTTTTAAGTCTGTATGCCTTCGTTCTGATGCACTGTCAAACCAATGAGGACATGCATTATTAAAAAGAGATTAAAAGAGAGAGTGAATGCTCTGTGTCTCTATGAAAATAATTATCAGTTGGAGAATTCTAGTATGATATAATAATTTACAGATTATTTTTTCATATGACATGACTCGGTGAATACATAGATGGAGAGACCATTTGTTTATGTACTCTCCAGTTTTTAAATATATATTATTTGCTGTCGAAGGTCAGGTGGGAGTGTTCCTTAAAATTTGTGTGTGTGTGTGTGTGTGTGTGAGAGAGAGAGAGAGAGAGAGAGAGAGAGAGAGAGAGAGAATACTGAACCCAGTCCTGCAACCCTTACTCAGACAATTTCTAGTCCCATTAATTTCAAGGAGACCACTCATGTGAGGATACGGTGCAGGATCTGACTTACTATGGGCCAAATGTTGCCCTTAGAGTTGCATTCAGGGCTCCCATAAAGGGGCAGAATTTTCAAAAGCACCCAATCTTGGCCATTACTCACTTGGACCAGAGTTAGAGCAATACTGAGCACTTTTTAAAATCACGCCCAAATCGTATAGGAGATGCCCCCATGGATCCTGGGGAAGAACTGGCATTATCTTTTGAATTAGAGTCTTGTCCAATGCCCTTTGAAATCAAGGGGGGGGGGTCTTTCTATAGACTTCAGTGGACATTGGATCGGACTTTTCCTATATAATCTTTTTCCAGGGCATTCCTACTGTTAAGCAATAAAAAGTGGCTGTGTTTAATGAATTTTCTCCAAGCATAACTGAAACCAGCCATGTTTCCAATGGAGTAAATGTCAGTAGCATTTTAAGGGTTAGCATTGTTAATTCAAAACCTTGGGTTTTTGGTTTGTCTTTTAAAGCTGTTGCGAACCTGCAAACATTTAGAAGCCTAACCTGTCACAGGACGTAGCTCCCAGGGATCCCGGGAGTGGGTGAGCTTCCCAGAGTCACGTTCATTGCTGGCAATGGACACACCAAAATCCTCATCATGGAACAGTGAGGTTAACTTGCCCCTCGTGTTCAGTACCATTTTAGCAGACCTTGCTCTAATCGAGACAGGGCCGGCTCCAGGCACCAGCTTAACAAGCAGGTGCTTGGGGCGGCCAAGGGAGAGGGGCGGCACCTGCGGCAATTCGGGGGCAGCAGGTCCCTCACTCCCTCTAGGAGCGAAGGACCTGCCGCTGAACTGCCGTCGCCGATCGCGGCTTTTTTTTTTTTCCATTTGCCTCCGCTGGTCGCAATGGCGGAGCCGGCCCTGAATCGAGACAGTTAAAAGCTGGCAGCATTAGACCGCTTCCAGCTGACTTACTTGACTGGCGTGTTTTGTAATTTATGCACTGCATTAAATGTTCAGCAACAGTAAGGGCAAAGAACCCAGTATATCAAATAAACTGCACTGTGCCAAATACTCAACCAATATTGTAACTATCTATGTTTTTATTCTTGGCTTGGAGCCTTGTACAGAATCATTTGGTAAAGAGAGGAGTGGGAGGGTGGAAAAGGAGCATTATGCAGTGTCATTTGTATCTATTGGGTGGTAAATGATGCTTTTAAGCCACAATATTTAGATCAGTTTATTATATCCTGTCTGCTAAAATAGAGATACTGCATCCATAAGCCAATGAATTAAACAAAGGGACAGGTTGCATAACTGTCTCATAAAATATGTATAATTGTCAAGTATAAGCCTTTGAAATCTTTCTGTACAGTTTTCCTTATTTTGAAAATTTATTGCTTATAGAATGCCGCCTTTTTCAGATGCTAGCTCAGAGTTTTATACTACGCACGCATCACAAACAACATGTCTCAATGCCTGATTTCTTGAAAATCTATAAACCCTTTTGCCGTTTGGATTTTTTTTTTTCTCTAAAAATCCAGGGTGAATGAGAATAATATGCGGGCATGACGCAAAACAAACTGAAAGGCGTCCTAGAGCTGTGGTTTGTCAGTAATTGAATGTACAATCAAAAGCCCATCTGACCAGTGTTACGGAAAACAAGATTGCAAAGCACGAACTGTCGCTTCACTTGTTTGTTTGGGGGATTTTTTTTATTTTTACTTTTTTTTTTTTTAATCTTAATCTGATTTCTTGGTTGTGTATGGGAAGCTCAGCCTGAGCTGGGTTGTTTTATTACTTTTGTACCTAATTATTTTGTATCTTGTGAAATCGTGATTTTCTGTTTGTTTCTTTCTTTTGATAACATTGCTTTTGAAAAGCTCTTTTTTTAGTAAGCGTCAGATCCCAGTATCATCAAGGGCTTTATTCATAGAGTTTTGGTGCTGTCACAGGGGAAAGAGGTGTATCCATGCGTGTAAAACAAAACATGAAACCAAATTCTCAGAGTGCCCCAGCTTTTTCTTTGCTTTGCTGATTTCAAAGTCCCAAGCCAGTTTTGCATGTTCCCTACTTTTAATTGTACAATCAGGGGTGAATAATCTCAATTCAGCCTCCTACACCCCAAAAATGGGTGCCACGTAGCTTTAGGGGGTACTTAACTTCCTTTTTCAAGAATAATTTAACCATGCAGGAGATGGAATTGGAAAGATTCTCTTCCCGAGAGGACAAAGCAGAGGCAAGCCCCAAGTTCTGAAGCTCAGATCCTACATTCCCCCAGGTTCAGGGCCTTTGGATTCAGGTTTTTTGTTGAGGTCTATCTCAGATTCAACAGTGCCCCCAAACCCTGTGCTTTGCTGGTGACAGTCTTCTCAGGAGATATTTTGGGAAATGCAGCATACCATTTGGAGCCTGATTCTCTTCTCACTCTCACAGATGTAAACCAGGAGTGGCTCCAATGAAATCGGTGTAGGGGGGATCCCAGTGTGAAAGTGGTACAAGTGAAAGCAGAATCAGGCCATTAGTACTTTGCACTTTGGGCTCTTTAAACGACGTGGTGCATTTTGAGACCATCCCTTTATATTTGTGGAAATCATCTCTCAAAGTTCCTGCCCCACCCATTTGCGCGTCTCACCAGAGCAAAGAGCATTCTCAGGACGAGGAGACATCTTTCCATTCAAATTCCCGGCCTACCTTCCCCAGAAGGTTTTGGTTGCACAATGACATGATGGGGATTTTAAGTTCTCTTGAATTACCAAGCCAAACCTGCTCACTTCCCCCTGTTCAATACTCTCTGGAGAGCCCATGCATTCGAGGCATCAAATCTCAGCTCTCACACTACCGTTATCCTGTCTGAGCAGGATATGAGCCTTATGGGCGAGAGAAGGAATTCACTCCCAGGGAGTTGAACTCGCAATGCTTAAAAATGAAATGATGGGGTGAGAAGACATTTGAAGAGGGATTTAAGAATATCCAAATAGCTAGGGCATGTAAAAAAAATCTTTTAAGAAAATCTTTAGACAATCTTTATATTCTCCCTTCAAAATGCAGTGTGTCATCCGCAATTATTTTTCATTAACTAAAGGGATGCGCATCTTACCCACACCTTTCTGCATCAACCAACTGTGCTTTCTCCCAGGGTGCACAGTGTCTTGGGAGGGAAAACAGACTCAATTTAGCAATCAGCAGTCTCATTCCACAACAGACCCAGAGGCAACCTCAAGGCTACCAACACTGTGAGTTGTGAAACTTTACCAGGAGCCAGAGTCTGTTGCTGCTGCTGTTCAAGAATATTTCTCACAGCTGGACATGTTGGGCTCAGCACTTCCCTGTGATTCAGATGATCTAGATGCGTTATTTGTTTTGTTTTTGTCAAAAGGAAGTGGGAAAAATTGGTGTTAAAAGTTCTTAGGCATAAACCTCATAGGACTGAACCTTTTTTGGGGGGGGAAGGAGGTTCTTTGTTCAGAGAGGTTTCCAAACAAATTCCCACTCTGCCTTTAAAGCCAGCTATCCACATATATCCCTCCTTAATGTCACATGAGCCATCTTTAGAGATATAAGGCTTCTAAATCACACACACACATTCTCGCTCTCTAGCTGTGATTAATGTGTGCAAAGTTCACACCATTTCTTTGTGCCTGGGGCCCTGGAAAAGCACCTCCTAAGTATAAGCAAGAAAGGTCATGATTCTGAGCTGCTTTGACCTTTCAGAGAGCAAGAGAGAACTGGCAAAGGCCCCTGCGCTCTTCTCCTTGTCTAAAGCAAAGTTCACTTGCTCCCATGTTACCTACTCTTGCCATGACTCACCATTCCACTGAGCGGGGTTCCAATCCTGGAAGGTTGTGGCACTCTCAGTTTTCTGTGACTTGGCAGTTTCAGTCCCCTGCGGCATGTCCTTGCTTAGAGATAGCCAAAATACACTTCTTGTAAACGAGCATGCAGACTGAAGGGAAGAGGGCCAGTGATTGTTACTTGGGATAAGCCCAGCTTGGTGTGATCTTATGATGGATCAGACCGACTCTAGAAGGGAAGAAACGACAATGAGAGGGCATTGTGGCTGGGTTTTTAAAGGTCCCTAAGAGAGTTAGGCACCCAACTTCAGCTGGCCTTCAATGGGATTTGGGCATCTAACTGTCTTAGCCCCATTTCAAAGCCTCCGCCTTTAGGCATCTCTTCCAGGCTGTCCACTGGGCTCTTTCACCAGCCTGAATTTCACACCAGTAATTTTGCAAAGGACTGTTAAAGTTCCTTTGCCTAGGTGGTGCCTTTCCCCCCATTTAATGATGCCAAATGCAAATAATGAAATTCAGTCCTATCAAGACAATAATCTCTATTCAAAGACATTAACACTGTCATTTACATTGGCTTGAGAGACCAGAACATCTCCTTTGGTTTCGGCCCATCAGCTACACTAAAAATATGACCCATTTTTTCTTGCTTTTACACATTAAATCTGTCATTCCTTATAAGCTGTAAATGACATTTTTCCATTATTCCACTGACTTTTCCAGCAAATGCAAGTCTTAACTCAATTGCGTCACTAGAACATACTCTCTAGACAGTTTTTAGATAGTGGGTATTTTTCTTTTAACTTGTGTTGCCTAGTAAAATGTTTGGCTCTGATCTTGTTCCCCGTATTCAATGGGGCAGGGGCAAGCTCTGTGTAATTATGAGCAAAATAGTCATGTTCTTTTCCTTGGAATGAGTAAAAATATATATTATCCTTGTGCTTAAAGAACAGAGAGAAAATTATGAACAAAAGCCGCCAATTATCAAGTGGGCGGGAGCAGACAGTCACAGTCTGATGTGAGGAGTCCCCATAAAA